GCAATGTCTTTTCTATTTCTCTTTGATTTTCTCTTTGATATTCTGAAAATTCATTACATACTGGCTCATATTTATTTTAATTTGATTTATTGAATTAACAATTTGCTAGAATTCTTGAAACTAAGGATCGATTTCTATTCTATACTACTCTAACCTAGCACCCCCCCCCACCTCTCTCTGTGGTCCTGGTGTCATAGTGGTTAGACATTGGGCTGCTAATTGCCAGGTCAGCAGTTTGAAACCACCAGGCGTTCCATATAAGAAAGACAGGGCTTTCTGCTCCCAGAGCTGATGGTGTTTACACAACTCATTTTATTTTATTTTAAGTAATCATTTTATTGGAGGCTCATACAACTCTTATCACAATCCATACATCCATCCAATGTATGTCAAGCACATTTGTACATTTGTTGCCCTCATCATTTTCAAAACACTTGCTTTCTAATTGAGCCCTTTGTATCAGCTCCTCATTTTTTCCCTTCCTCCCTGCTCCCCCCTCTGTCATGTACCCTTGATAATTTATAAATTGCTATTTTGTCATATCTTACACTGTCCAATGTCGCCCTTTGCCCACTTTTCTGTTGTCCATTCCCCAGGGACGGGGTTATATGTAGATTCTTATAATCAGCTCCCTCTTTCTACCCGACTTTCTCTCCACCTTCTTGGTATCATCACTTTCACTGAAGGGATCACCTGTCCTGGATTCTCTGTGTTTCCGGTTCCTATCTGTACCAGTGTACATTCTCTTGTCTAGCCAGATTTGTAAGGTAGAATTGGGAATCATGATCATGGGGGAGGGGGAGGAAGCATTTAGGAACTAGAGGAAAGTTGTATGTTTCATCGTTGCTACACCGCACCCTGACTGGCTCATGTCCTCCCCATGATCCTTCTGTAAGGGGATGTCCAGTTGTCTACATATGGGCTTTGGGTCCCCAATATGCACTCCCACTCATTCACAATGGTATGATTTTTTGTTCTGATGATGCCTGATACCTGATCCCATCAACACCTCGTGATCACACTGGCTGGCGTGCTTCTTCCATGTGGGCTTTGTTGCTTCTGAGCTAGATGGCCGCTTGTTTACCTTCAAGCTTTTAAGACCCCAGATGCTATATCTTTTGATAGCCAGGCACCATCAGATTTCTTCACCACATTTGCTAATGCACGCATTAGTCTTCAGCGATTGTATTGGGAAGGTGGGCACACAATGATATGATTTTTTGATGCCTGATACCTGATCCCATCAACACCTCATGGTCACGCAGGCTGGTGTAGTACTTCCATGTGGCCTTTGTTGCTTCTGAGCTAGATGGCCACTTGTTTACCTTCAAGACTTTAAGACTCTAGATACTATATCTTTTGATAGCCGGGTACCATCAGCTTTCTTCACCACATTTGCTTATGCACACATTTGTCTTCAGCAATCGTGTTGGAAGGGTGAGCATCATGGAATCCCAACTTAATTGGACAAAGTGTTCTTGCATTGAGGGGGTACTTGAGTGGAGGCCCAATGTCCATCTGCTACCTTAATACTAAACCTGTAAATATATGCACATATATCTGTCTCCCCATCCTCATATATAAATATATTTACATATATACATTACTGTTTTTAGACCTCTATAAATGCCCTTAACCTCTAGTTCTTTCCTCTATTGCCTTTTACTTTCCTCTTGTCCCACTATCATGCTTATCTTTGATTTGGGTTTCAGTGATTTCTCTCAGTTACATTGCCCTGGATCAAGCTCTACCCGGCCTCCTACACCCTCCTCAACCTCATCTTTGGATCTTTTGTTGTTTCCTCAGCCCTGGGTTGGTCAACACCACTTTTCTCCACCTCCCCCTTTCCCATGTCCCCCTGGAACGATGCATCAGTCCTGTTGTTGTCTCCTCCAGACGGTTCATCCTGCCTATCTTATATAGATAGACCTGCAGATATAATAATATGCGCTAAAAAAGACATATCAAAACAGACAGAAGAAAACAAAGGACAACAACAACAACAAAACCCAATGACAAAAAAAAAGATCAGAAAAACCTGTAAATAGTTCAAGATCTTTTTGTTGACCTCTAGGAGTGGCCTCCGGTTGAGTCTGATGGGGTGGCACGCCCTGGCCCCAAAGTCTACACTTTGCACTCCCTCGGGACCTCCCTGCTCTACTCCCCCCCGATTCTCTGCCACACTCCCTTAGTGTTTTGCATCAATGTGGTGGGGTCAGACCAGGCACAATCCCGACACTGTGTCTCCAGTGCTGTCCTGCGTAGGGCCATGGGTCAGTGAGGGACGTCTACACAACTCATTTTAAACACGATTTGACCAGGGGAGAATGTTCTGTAATTGTGCCAATGATTGTATAAATCTTCTTGCTTTGATTGAATGATTGAATTTTATGATGTGTGGATTAGGTGCCAATAAGAATGTTTAAAAAAGAAGTTACATTTCCCAAAACTCACAGGGGTAGTTTTGCCCTGTCCTACAGAGTCCCTATGAGTAGGCATCGACTCGATGGCAGTGAAAGTAAAATAAATCTATCTATCTATCTATCTATCTATATCTATCTATCTATCTATCTATCTATCTATCTATCTATCTATCTATCTATCTATCTATCATCTATCTATCTTATTGCTCCCTTCATTATGAATATTGGAATGAAGAAGTTCACCAGTTGAGTTTGTCTCTGTAGAAACCATTGTCTCTTGTTTAAAATATACCATTTTCTACCTTACTCCAACAACTGTGACTTGTTCCTGGTGCAGCTTATGCAGAACATCTAGTAGACTTTAAAGGCAGATGCTGATTTGGGATCCTTTCCCCCCGCAAATTGTTGTTGTCAACCCAAACAGAAACTCTGTACCCATTAAGCAATAACCCCTCCCTTTTCCCCACCTCAACACATGGTAATCACTAATCTGTTGTCTTTTATGCATTGTCTGTTCTATATCAAACTCCAAACATAATGCCATCAAGTAGAATCCACCTCATAGCAACCACGTAGGACAGAGTAGAACTGCCTCTATGGGTTTCTGAGACTGTAACTGTACGGGAGTAGAAAGTCTTATCTTTCTAACTGCTGACATTGCCAATGAGAGCCCAGTGCATAACCACCACACCATCAGGACTCCTATCCCAGCGGTTCTCAACCTGTGGGTTGCAACCCCTTTGGGAGTCAAATGACCCTTTCACAGGGGTTGCCCAATTCATAACAGTAGCAAAATGACAGAAGTAGCAACGAAAATAATTTTATGGTTGGGGGGGGGGGTCACAACAACATGAGGAACTGTATAAGAGGGTCGCAACATTAGGAAGGTTGAGAACCACTGCTTTATTCCATATGTTTCCTATACATGGCTGCCACATCTCAATTAAAATGTTTCCATGCTTGAGTAAAGTTTCCTTTTTGAATTCCTGCTTTTGTCTTTGTCACTTTATCTAGCTCACTCTTTTGCTGAGATTGGAGCCCTTGAGGATCTGGTTCTCATTTTCAAAAGCGTTCCCGTTTAGATAATAAATGATAGGAGATCCCCACCCTTCAGCAGGAAGGTGCTTGGTGTGCTGGAAGAAGAGGAAGGCCACACTGGTTGGTGTGTAGAGGGAAGAGAGGTTAGAGAAGATGTCAGAGAAGAAGGAAGGGGTCTGCTGATACGATTTTTGAGGCTAGAGAAGGATTTGGTCACTTATTCCAGGTGAGATTGGAAGCCATTAGTGGATTTCAAGTGAAATGATGTTTAGTTGCTTCAAGCGGCTGCTTTTGTAATCTGGCCACCTGGAGGGCTCCACCTGGCCTTGTGTAGTCTAGTGATCAATGAAGGATCTGGGAAGGGTGTGGAATGGGCTTTGGGGACTTACTCTCTCTGTGGTCCCCTTGCTTCTAAGGCCTCCTCCTGCATTTTCAGCTTATCCACCATCCCTGAGCTGTATCCTCTGTCAATTAGGCTTTGGATCTCTGAGCTGTGATGGGTTGGGACATTCATTCCGTTGAAAAACCAGGAAACTAATAAACCTTATCCAATACAGTTTTTTTTTCCATTTAGTCAGAGACTCTCTTCTTGTTTTTGCAAGATTTAAAAAAACTGGGGCCACAGGGCTCCCCTATGTGCACATTGTAGTGGTCATCCCCAAATTTGGTCAGAGTTGATGACTCTCTTCTTTCCAGAACCCACCCCTCAGCTAGCGTGAAATACCACTTCTGCCACCTGGAGCTACTGTAGTCCTTCTAACCCATTTCTGTTGCTCTCTTTCAAAGGCAAACGCTCTCCTAGTTTCTGACTGCTCTCACTAACTACTGTTTTTCAATACATATTTAGGTATAAATATGCAATATACATGTATATATAAGTCTGTATATAGTATATACTATACATATATAGATATATATGCATGGATGTATTTCAGAATTTATCATTAGTAGCTGAAGGTTGATGGGGCCATTCAATCTACTATTTTTTTTACCTAAATCTGGACCATTCATTGTTATTTTAATTTGTGCTTAGCAAATTGATTTTTTCCTTCATATTTATTGAGTTCACATTTTTTCATTTTATAGATTTTTCTTTTCATATCATGGGTTCATTTTTTCCATTTGTTTTTCTCATTCACCTGAAAGAGCTCATAGTTTATTGACAGCAATAAAATATTAGCCATCATGCTATTTTGAGAAGATCCATGTTAAAATACAGGTTCTAGTTTTATGGTGACAGGGACACAGAGAAGAACATACTCTTACTTGAGATGCCAGTGCATAGAGAAGGGGACTGCAGTTTTTTCATAAGTTTGCATGATGGGTTGGTAGTAACCTTTTAAAGTAAAGCCTTATCAGATGTATTATTTCAGTAGTTGTGGATTACTGTGACATTATCTTTCAGTAATGCTCATTTGCTTTACTTCCCAGTAACTACTGTATCAGAGGAAATATTTCACGGTAATTAATATTTTAAGGGTACTGTCAACCTTCACCAGAGCTATGTTCAAACACTATTCTCTCTGTTTCTGCCTGTAGGAGTACACCATTGATGTATTCTTTCGACAGACCTGGCATGATGAAAGACTGAAATTTGATGGACCCATGAAGATCCTGCCACTTAATAATCTCTTGGCTAGTAAGATCTGGACTCCTGACACCTTTTTCCACAATGGAAAGAAGTCAGTGGCCCATAACATGACCACACCTAACAAGCTACTCAGACTTGTGGACAACGGGACCCTCCTCTACACAATGAGGTAAGAGAACGGTGCTCCCATTCAGGAGGGAGGGAAAAGTATACTGGGCTAGGGAGACTTTGGTTGAAAGTAGCATGTTTTATGGAATCACTTGAAAATTCTGTCATGTTTACAGATTCACAATTCACATGTAGGTATATTCCTCATAACACATTTGCATGAGTAAATATTTAGAGACATGTATTATAGCTTATGTAGATTCAGAGAGACACAGAGACATATACATACCGTATGTACTTGAGTATAAGCCGACTCGAATATCAGCTGAGACATCTAATTTTACCAGAAAAATTGCATCAAAAATGTGCTGGAAAATGGCTTATACATGAGTATATACTGTACTTAGATTATTTATGCATATTATATATATTCAAGGATCTGTTTATATACATGCTTATGATGTAAGAATGTATGCATATTCAAAGACATTAAAGGACTAAAACATAGGCACTTACACATTCAAACCACACACACAAAAAGTCACTACCATAGAATCAATCCTGACTCCTAGTGAACCTACTTAAATTCACAAACTCACAAAATGTGGGCACAGACATGAGTACTATGTCCATTAAAGTAGGCGTGACTTACCTGCAAGAATGAACAATTCCTCTGATAGTTTTGAGGATAAAATGAGATACTAGATAGTTTTTTAAAATAAAATTATACCATACACACATATACAAAATGGCTTCAAAGAGAGGGAAGACAAAGCAATCAACTAGACTCTTGAGGGTGTAAATGAAATGGAAGATAGGCATCCAACAAGGAAGAAGATAAATCAAGAAGCCTAGTGAATGGAAAACTATTATGAGGGTCGATTAATAGTTTAAACTGTTGAATACAAATTTGCTGATAATGTCAACCCCCACATATACAATCACAAAGGAGTCCCTATAGTACAGTGGTTACATGTTGCGCTGCAATTCGAAAAGTCATCAGTTTGAAACCACTCGTTACTCCTTAAGATAAAGATGAGGCTTTCTATTCGTGTAAAGAGTTAAGCCTCAGATACTAGTTAGTATCAACTCGATGGCATTGAGTATTTTTATATAATAAAAAAGTTTTAAAATTATATAATAAAAATTGTTATAAAAATATTCATGGAGTTTGAAGCCTCCTCACATGTTTTATATGCATTCTATACTATATTTTATATATTTTATGTTATATTTCCTAGGGATGCTAAAGAGTTTTACATAAGTCAAATTTACACCAAGAGTACATCATAGGACCAACATGAATAAATTTCATACAATATGAAATACGTCATACTTTTCTAACTCTGAAAGCATACATAATTTTATATGCTTTTATGACTCATTATTAGCATTGTCTTTCAATTTTCTGTCCAAAAATACATTTGAAAGAACGTTCAGTGCAATAAGATTCTTTGCTCAAAGAATTTCGTTCTAGTGTTTGCCTTTTCTGCTTATATTTCTTCCTCTGTTATCAGTGTCACTTCCTGAAGCTCCCATCCCATATTAATGAATGTCAGTTTTACCAGAATGGGCTCTTATTGAATGGATAAATGAGATTCTTCCCTGTAGATTCTATGAACTACTTCAAATCTCTTATTTGCACAATGAAATTAAAACAATATGAATAGGTGATGAATAAGTGAAGTGTGTCTGTCTGAATGTTGTTGTTCTTAGCTGCCGTTGAGTAGATTCTGAGTGGTTACGACTTAATGTATAACAGAACAAAACAATTGTCCAGTCCATGCACATAATCCAGCCAGTATACTTAGCTCCTCATTATTTCATATGTGTTATTTATGATGTGCTTTCTGAAAGAACTTGAGATAACAGAAGGTAGCCAGGATAATGTTGCATATCAAATGGGTGCAAAAGAAACAATTCAGATGAGAGATGAGTAGCTGAGCGACTAGAAGTGAAGTGAGAATGGAGTAGAAGCAAGACTGATAGGCAAAGGGAAAAGTAGAAGTGAGAAGAGGTTGGAGAAGGAAGGGAGGACTAATCTGGTGAAGCTAACATATTAAAATCGAACCCCTGTGTAGATATAAAACCAAATCAAATCCATAACCATCTGGTTAATTCTGACTCTCAATAACTTGATAGGACAGAATAGCATTGCCCTTGTGGGCTTTTGAGACTGTAAATCTTTATGGGAGCAGAGAGCTTCCTTCATCTTTCTCCAATATGTATTTATATATATAATAGATATCAGGGAGAATTAAGTGATTAGCTAGAGAAAAAAATGAGATGAAAGGAGACTAGTTTATAGAACAAGAGATAATTGAGTGAAATAAAGAAACTAGATGTTTGGATATCTTAAAAGGACAGAAGATATTGGAGAAGAAGCTGTCATAGATGGGAAGAAAGAGAAAACAGAGAGAAGTAGCAGGAGGGGCAATGGAGGAGATGACGAAAAAGGAGGAAATTTGTGGCTATCAGAAAGATAAGTATTAAAATATTAACTTATTATCCATCAATTTTGACTTATGAAGAACAAAGACTACTGCCTTCAACATAAAGAAAACACAATGCTTCATAACTGGGCCAATAATCAATATCGTGATAAATAGAGAAAACTTTGTAGTTGTCAAGAATTTCATTTTTCTTGAATCCATAATCAGTGCCCATGGAAACAGCAGTCAGGAAATAAAATGACATATTCTATTAGGCACAACTACCCAAAAAGATCTTTTTAAAATGTTGAAGAGCAAAATTGTCGCCATGAAGCCTAGGATGTGTCTGACCCAAGCCATGGTATTTTCAATCACCTCATAAGCATGGGAAAGCTGGACAATGAATAAGGAAGACTAAAGAAGAATTAATACCTTTGATTTATGGTTTTGGTGAAAAATATATCCCTGACTGCCAGAAGAATGAAAAAATCTGTCTTGGAAGACATAGAAGTTGAATGCTCCTTACGGGTAAGGATGGGGCGACTTTGTCTGACACATTTTGGACATGTTGTCAGGAGAGACCAGTCCCTGGAGAGGGACATCATGCTTGCTAAAGTAGAGGGGAGGCTACAAAGGGGAAGACCCTCAATGAGCTGGATGTCCACAGTGGCTGCCACAATGGGCTCCAACAGTAGAGCAATTATGAGGATGGCACAAGACCTGGAAGTTTCCTTCTGTTGTGCATATGGTTGCTATGAATCAGAACTGACTCAAGGGCACCTAACTACAACTTGATGGGGCCACGATTCTCAGTGATTTGGTAGTTGAGTAATGATGTAGCCATTCACCATGATATGATCTGATGTGATCAATCAATCCGCTGTCATAGGATTAGAGCGGGATGCAACACCCTTACTCATACAATAGCCCTGATTTGATGTAAGACGAATTTCCCTGCAGTGTGATCTGCATCACCTTTTACCTTACAAAGGATAACAGGAGAGGGAAGCGAGTGGAAATAAAGGGACTTCTATCACTAGGAAACAAGAGCCAGGAGCAAAACATGTTCCCAGGGCAAGATGATGCCAAGACCCATGAAGATCTCCAAGGAATGATGCACCTATAAATGTTGAAAGAGGTAATATAGACCTTCCTCTAGAACTACAGCGAAAGAAACCCTGTTTCCAAGCTGAACTCAGATGCCTGGCTCCAGACCTGAGAACAAATAAATTCTATTTACTAAAACCCTCAACCACATGTCTTTAAGGTCATACTGTGGTGGCTTGCATGTCACTGCAATGCTAGAAACTATGTCACGAATATTTCATATACCAGCAGAGTTAGCCAAAGTGAACAGATTTCAGTAGAGCTTCCAGACTACGAACAGACTGCAAAGAAGGAATCAGCTGTCCATTTCTGAGGAATTAACCACTGAAAAGTACATGAATGCTAGTGGAACACCGTCAGATACTGAAACTTAATGAATAACAACAGAACATTGCTAGATATGGTCCAGAAGATGAACCTCTCAGGTCATAAATCACCAAAATATGACCAAAGAAGAGCTGCTTTCTCAAAGTAGAGTTGGCTACAATACAGCCTTTGAGACCTTTGCCGATGAAGCACAACTCGAAATGAGAAGAAATAGCTGCAAACATCCATTAACACTTGAAACTTAGACTGTACCAAATATGAATCTAGGAAAATAGGTCGTCAAAAATAAAATGGACAGGATAAAGATTGATATCCCAGGTGTTAATGAGCTGAAATAGACTGGTATTGGATATTTTGAATCAGTCATAAGATTCATTATGATGGGAATGACAAAATTAATAGGAATGGCTTTGCATCCATACTCAAAAAAGACATTTCAAGATGTATCTTGAAATGATGTTTGTGATTGGATAATATCTGCACACAAGAAAGTCCATTCAAATTTATACAGTAAGCACTAAATCTAGTGAGGAAAAAAAAGAGAATTCTACCAATGTCTTCAGTTGGAAATTGATCAAACAGGCAATCAAGATGCATTGACAATTATATGCAGCTTGAAGGCAGAACTTGGAAACAAAGAGGAAAGAATGGTAGTTGGAAAAGATGGCCTTGATGATAGAAACTAAGCTGAATGGTGATCGCATGATAGAATTTTTCAAGACCAACCATCACAAATACCTTTTTTAACAATAAAAAAGGTGACTATACATGTGGGGTTCTCCAGATGGAATACACAGAAATCAAATAGACTACATCTGTGGGAAGAACCGATGGAGAAGCTCAATAACATCAGCCAAAATAAAGCCAGAGGTCGACTGTGGAACATATCATCCACTGGTCATATACAAATTCAGGTTGAAGTTGACAAAATGAAAACAAGTCCGTGAGAGCCAAAATTCGACCTTGTGTATATCTCAAGAAAATATTTGATTCATTGACCACTAGTGACAGAAGGCTTGATGAACTGTGTGATGACATCAAGAACATCATTTATGAATAAAGCAAAAAGTCACCAAAAAGGGAAAAATAAAAAGAACAAAGTATTCGTCAGAAGAAACTCTGAAGCTTGGTCTTAATCATAGAGTAGCTAAGGTAAATGGAAGAAATGATGAAATCAAAGAGCTGAACAGAAGAT